TTTCACAATCATAAGTATTTATCACCTGTTATAAAAATATCAATCTGTCATAGCAGTGTTTTGCATGTTTATGTGAAATTTATGATCTTTTGTCAGTTTTGAAACCCGGCAAGCTGATGATGATAAATTCTTCTGACTCAGACAAATGTCTAATGGATGGTTTTCATATTGTAATGTTTTTGTTTTTAATGAATTACATTTGAGGATGATGTGGTTGCACGTTAATTTCCTCTCTTGCACGTTATTGTTTAGAATATTTGATTCCAGCAATATGTGGATGACAACCAAAATGTTCTGAAAAAGGTGCACTAGCTTGGGCCAAGGGACAGACAGGGGACAGTCTACACTGGGGGAAAAACACCGGTGGAAAAGCCCCAGAGACGAGCAGACCAGAACACTCGATAGTACCAACTGCTGCTGTACGAGCTGTCTGTATTTCTGTGCACGTGTTCTTGTTCTTTCAGTTTTTTCTATCAAAGGTTCCACTGTTGCATTTTAAGTCTGCTCGTGCGTTCCTGCACTGCTTATCTGTTATCTGTATTTTCTCAGCTGCAAATCAGGAAATCAGGGACAGGACGCCGTAATCTTGATCAATAAGCTTTGCTAGAAATATTCTTTCTGCAAAGAGAAACTCAGTGAGGCTCGAAGATTTGGAAGATTCAGAACAGGAGGTTATTTGCCTTTATTGGCTTGACGGTAGAGTTAGACCAGGCACCTCTAGTAATGGGTCTATCCTTCAATACAAGAGTCACCTGCTCAACCCGGTGAATGAAAGCAGCGCTTTGATTAGACAGAGTCTGAAAATCCGTTTTAAGACGAGGATGAGATTGACCGTTGGTCAGCTCCTAAACCATCGACAGCCAGCAAGGACAGAAATATGTATGTCTTGTGAATCTCAGTGACCTTTCCCAAGGAATGAGGCACGCTGCATGGCTGCCAGTATGCTGCAGCTCATTTAGCAGTTGCTTGTGTGCAGGTCATTAATTCTTATTTTGGACTTTCATCCCAGATGTTTCCTGGTCTAAATCCAATAGCAACAAAACTAAGAGCTATAGCGTATGTGGAGCCAAGATAGACAGCAAGACAACGTGCGCCACAAAGCTTTAGCTTGTCTTTATAGAGTGGCATGAACAGGCTGAATTGTACAAATTGACATGAATCCGATGCACTTCAGTGATTTAACCTTTGCAGTGATCAGAAACCTTGGATCATTTTTATTTCTTCAACGTAAAAATGTTTTTCCACCCCTTTCATCGTTAGGACAAAATGATCTCAGAGCAGTGAAGGTAGAGCCAGCTGGTCTCCCATCAGTTTAATATCAGTCCATAGGTTCTTTCTTAATGTGCACGCGCAAACAACCAGGAAAAAGCTGCTGGCTTGTCATCTTCATTAGCTCAAGCTAACAGGACATGGATACACATCGGAGATGGAGACATTATGCAGCAGGATCCACGGAGACCAGAGCTATACGCAACGATAACTAACTGCAACCACAAGATGGCTGTAATCTCAAACAGGCAAGTAGCTTTATGGAGCAGTTTGAGGTGAAAGTGGATTGTTTTACGATTTCACTA